ACAGCAGTACAGCAGTACAGCAGTACAGCAGTACAGCAGCACAACCACACAACCGCACAAGCCACACAGCTCAGCTACACAGCCTGACACCGCCCAGCTGAACTAGCGGCAGTTCAAAAGAGCCACAGAAAACGAATTCCAGAAAAATCAACTCTTGGCAAAGAGAGACACAAACGAACAAAAAAAAAGAAAAGCGGAGAAATAATTGGAAAGCAGTAGCACGATCTCTTTCAAAGTCAGTATCATGTAGAAGACCATGCCATTACCGTCGCCATGTAAGCACCGCGACCGTTGTAACTGGGGAACGGACGGGTGAGGAATAAGGAGTACAAAAACAATGAGAGGGAGGAAAACCGAAGGGAAGCAGCGCACGAGAAACGAAAAGAAGGATAATTGGTATTCATTCCCCATTATTAAAACATACTTCGAGACAAAAGGAAATAATGCGACGCTGCTGGCAAACTGCATGCAGTGCTCCATAGCGACACACACAGCCACACACCCTGTAATGACCCAGGTGAATACTAGATGAGCGGACTGGGAGCAGAGCGTGGGCGGCGGGCAGGCGTGAGAGAGAGAGGGGGGGTGAAGGGGTCTCTCTCGCTCTCCGACACACTCCGTAAAGCAGCAGCTCTCTCCCTGTTTCCCTCTTTCTCTCTTTCGCACGCAAAAGAGTCCGGGAGGTGCGACGTGCGCACACATACACAGAAAGGGGAGACGGCAGAGAAAGGCAGCGAGAGGGTGAGGGGGAGAAAAAAAGGGGGAAATAAATGCCCGCGGAAAGAAAAGAAAACTCTCGGGGACAACGCTTTCGCGCTTCGTGATGAGTTACAAGAACGCGGCAGAAATGATGATCAAACAGGCTGTCGTAGGGGCCAAGTTATTTGCCATACGAGGCAGGAAAAATAAGGGCGCGTGCGTGTTTGCAGATCGCACGCTAAACGCCCCGTGCTGTGCAGAAACATGCAGGGTATGCACAAAGTTGTGCATAATGAGTGGACACTAGTTGTGCATACTGAAGCGTAACAAGTTGCGCAGAACTATGGCCGTTCAAAACACAGCATACGGGTTTAGTGTGCGCCATTCTGGATTCTGCGCGGGTCTGAACGAGCAGAGGCGATGTGCCCGTCTGGCTGGCATCTACGGCACTGCAGAAGGGTTGCACAACGTCAGCGTCCGGCTCGGTACGCGGCGGTACTGAAGGGGGAGAAGAGGCCGGAAGCGGCCAGGAGCGACCAGGAGACAGCGCTCGAGGAGATGGGGTTGTCTGGAAAACCGGGCTAAAGGATGTGATTGCCCCGAACGGCTCGGCTCGGCTCGGCTCGGCTCGGCCACCCGCCAGCCAGACCCCGCACTGCCCACCCCGCGGCGCCGCCAAAGGCGACTCCCGCCGTCAAAAGGCTGGAGCCGCACTAAGGAAGCTATGGAGCTTGATCCCTCCGGGCGAGGCGAGGCGGG